ATCGGTTGAGACCTGGCTGCAGCTCAGTGCATCGTCCACGAGGCCCAGAGGTGTTCTGAGACTTGCCCTGCAGCTCAGTGCTTCATGGGGTGCAGGCGATGGGCTGAGACCTGGCTGCAGCTCGGTGCATGGCCCATGAGGAGCAGAGGGGGGCTGAGACCTGGCTGCAGCTCGGTGCATGGTTTGTGGGCAAGGAGGTGGGCAGAGACCTCAGCAGATGCAGTTTGTGGTCCGGGAGCTGGGCTGAGACCTCCCCACAGCCCCGTGCGCAGCCCAGAGGCTGCTCGAGACCCCTCCGGATCTCGGCACACAGTGCAGGGGACTGGAAGGCGACCGAGGCCGAGCGGCAGCTCAGCGCACGGCAGCGCCGTGAGGCAGTTTGGAGCCTGCCCCGAGCTCCGCGGCAGCTCTGTCTGCTCGGATGATTTATCAGCAAATTGAAAAAACAAAAACAAAACAAAAAAACAGCCATCAGGGAGCAGGAGCTTGGCTGGGGTTAATTTACAGCCACCAATTCTCAGTCCATGCGAGGGTTGTTTATAACCCCATCCTCTTGAGATGCTAATCAGCTTTGGGCTCGGGGGCTTAGGTGCTGTGGAAATGGCAGTCGCTGGCCCCAAAACTGACCCACGGAGAGCGGCTCCGTGCGGAGCTGCTGCTCGGGAAGGCAGCGGGACTCGACGGCCGGGTGACCCGATTCGGTGGCTGTGCTGGGTAATCGGGTCAGGGCTGTTATAAAAACAGAAAAGAAACAGTTTTGTGCATTTCTCCAGCCTGCTTTACTTGCTGTTGTTAGACTATGTTGGGCTGATATTGCTCTGTAAATTGCTTGTAAAGATGATAGGTGAAAACAGATTTAAAAGAACAATTTCTTATTAACCGCTTGGCAAAAACAGACCTTGTGAGGGGAGCTACAGCAGGAAAGCTCCCCTTAGGCAAGGAGGAAGAAGACGGTGTTGGGGCCAGGCTAATTGGGGCCATTCCTCTTCAGGCTGGTATGAATCTGGGCTCAATGTTATCCATCCAAACAGGTTTTAGAGGAGGAGGAGCCTGAGAGCGGCTGGGACTAATTTACTCATTTCCCTCCCAAAGGCTGACCCAGAGACCTGCATGAAGTGGTTGCACAAGAAGAGGAGGTAGAAGCTGGCAGCTTTCTGAGGGAGCCGCGCACAGAGCTGGGGCTTCTTCGGGGAGATGCAAGATGACCTCCCATGAGAGATGCCTTCTGGAGGAGATCCAATGAAAACAGAGCCCTGCAGCCTCTAACTGGGACAGCTCCTGCTGGTCTGGAGCTGAGACTTATTTTTCTCCCTTCTTTTTCCATTGGAGATGTTGCAGGGATATAATCTGTGCTCTTTCTCCCCACCTGAAGCCTGCCGTGGCAATGACCCCACAGCCAGACCCAAGCACCAAAGAGAAGAGGATTGTGCGTTTGAAGCAGGGCCGTCACTGTAACTGAACTGGAATTTACTCCCTGCTTACGCTCCCGGAACGGCCGCTGCCGTTCCTGTGTCTGTGTGTGTTTCAAGCTGCTCCTCCCTAATCTCATTTGGAATTCCCGGCCTTTCCACGCTGAATCTGCCCATGGCTTTCCTGATGAAGAAGAAGAAGTTCAAATTTCAGACAAGCTTCACTCTGGAAGAGCTGACTGCTGTCCCCTTTGTGAATGGGGTTCTGTTCTGCAAAATCAGGCTGCTAGATGGAGGAGACTTTGCTAGCTTATCCAGCAGGTAAGGAGCTAACTTGCTTCCTGGCTGTTCTTTGCCTGCTTTTGTTTCTGCACTCGAATGGTTCAGCATATGGCTACCACTTGCCGGCCCCTTGATGTGATTTTAATAGTTGTGCTTTAGGGCCCCACATGCCACATTTTTCTCCAGAGAGGGGCAAGAATGTAGCTGCAGAGCTCTGAGCCTCTGAGCAGAGCTGGAGTGAAGTTTTTCAAAGGCTTGAAGGATGGGGGGATTGTACCCCATGAAATAGATTAAAGTTTGTGGATTAAAACTCTTTTTTTCTCCTCTCTCTCTTTTTGCCTCCCTGACCCAAGTTTTCACATGCTGTTTTAGACCTGTGCTCTGCTGCTTTCATGCCTGACTTGAAACTCAACTCTGCAGGAAGGTGCATCTAGGCTAAGCAGATGGACCCTTCCCAACTTTGCCCTCCTCTTCTGCTCTTGGTGAGAGTGGAAGTAGCTTGCTTTGCATTGCAAATTGCTGTGCAAGGGAAACTGCTGCCTGGAGTCAAAGTTGTCAGTGTTAAAGACACAGTTTATCTTCTGGAACAAATGTCATTGAGTTTCAAAGTTTATAGCTGCATTAGTTTTTTAAAGTGACCTGTCACAGAGGGGCCATTTTGCTGCCTTGCAACCTTTTAAGGGTTGTCCTGCCTGTGTTTGCTTTCTTTCTAACTCTTTCAGACAAATCTATCCCCCCCCCCTTGCTACTAATTGCTAATAAAAACTTGCTTTGTTTCCAGCTATGCACATAGATTATCACTTAGCAGTATGCAAATACAAATTCCATAACAGCCTGGACTTGCTTGCTTTCTGCCTCAAGATGTGAAAGAAGCCTTTAGTGGCTCTCAAAACTTGTTTTTTTGCTTTCCTAAGTGACTCCTCTTTTTTAAAGGTACAGTATTTATTTGTGCCAGTTGGTAATTTCTTTATCTGAGAACTAAATCTGGGTTTGGTGTGGTTTTCCCCTTTATGGTACTGTACACTAAGTATGGAGGAGCTTTCTCAATCCAGAAGGGTTGATTTCACTGGGCAAATGTAAAACATTTCTATCTTGCAAACAGAAGTCATAGGGAATTGCTCTAAGTGCTCTAAGAATTACTGTTTTAATTCCAGATGCACGGTGAAACCTCATCCATAGCTTATGGAAAGTATGGGCATGGAATACCTCTACAAATGCTCTTTAAAATTAATCTTTGGAAGAAAATCTATCAAAGGAGCTTTTCCTTACAGTTTTCTCCCCCGAGGCTAGATCCTTGGGTTTGGTGGAAGCAGCTTATCTAAGGAATTCAAACAGTATGTGAACTTGGAAAGAAATTAACCCCTCTGCTTCCTGGAGTCGTAAGAAAATGAGCTGGCCTGGAGAGTGTCGTAGGGAGAGCTGGTCCTTGGAAGTGTCCGTGTCCCCTTGCTGGGCAGGGGGCTGTATCCGGCAGTGCTGGTGTCCGCCCGCGTTGCCAGCCCTAGGGGTTGTTGTTTTCCGAGCTGGCCGAGGTGCAGCAGTTCTCAGCGTGCTGCAGATTGCAAATGTGTCCCAGCAGCAAAATCACCCATAATTTAAACCAAACGCATACGTTCCCCTTGACTGGCCTGCTTACGTATCCCCTCGCAGAAGGTTTGCTGCCTTTCCCTTAACCTGTCTGCAGCGTAACTGGAAGCACATGGAAACCTGTTCCTGCTCGGAAAGTTGCAGGTCTCGGTGGTATTGAGTCATTTGACCTTTTTCAAGCATTTTCCCTTGCTGCAGTTAGAGAAACTGCAAGGAGGGTGAATTTCCAGGACCAATAACGAGAGGAGTTACCTGGTGGAGAGGCTACCAGATCCTGCCTTGGCTCTGCTCTGTACCACTAGAACATCTTTCCATGACCTTCCTGAAATTCTGAGGATTTGGGGAAAGGCTAAAGGGAAATAGATGCTGGGGCCATGTTGCGTTAGAAGCCTGTGAGTGATGATCTGTGATGATTTCCCTGAAATCAAACACTTTGAGACGTCTTTCAGGGCCTTTGGAGTTGTCAGGTCTGTGGAGCCTTCCTATGGAGCCTTCCTATGGTGAGCTGCTTGTGTGAGAAGGTTGCGGTGGTTGCTGCAGTGTGTTCGAGCCTCCTTTTCCATCGTGGGCACCCAAAGTGATCTGATCGAGCAGAGCAGCAGCTCTTGCTCTCCGTGGATTGATCTGCACTAGGTGCCTGTGTGATTTTTTGTGTCTGTAAATGAGGGGAGGGGGAAATAGCTTTAAGAACCTCCCATAGGACAAGCTAAATTAGGTGGGTTTTTTCCCCCCAATTAAGTAAATTCCATCTTGCAGAAAAGAGAGGCGTGTCTCTGAAGAGCCTTCTCTTCCGAGGCAGATTTTTCATAATGACTGTGACTCAGGGAGCTCCTGCCCTGCTATGGAGAGCAGGGAGCTTATGATGGATCTGACCAGCTGCCAAACGGTGCTGGATGAAGCTGGAGCAGAAGCTGGAAGCTCTGCTTGCCGCTCATCCTAGCTCCAAGGCCACTTCATCCCAGGTTGCTTATCCACATTTTCGCCCCACGCAGTTGGAGGGGCCTGTGGTGCCTGCTCATTCCAGGCCAGGAAGGAGAACAGCCGGAGCGGGGACCCCATCCCAGCACTGACGGGGCGACCAGCACTGCGCTCGCTGGGGCTGCAGCAACGTGCGGGCCGGAGTGGGGAACCTGCCTGAGATGCAGTGAGACTCGACACTCTCAGGAATTCAGAGCATGCTGGCAAGGGTCCAAGGCTTGTCAGCACGTTCAGCTGGCTTCAGATCTCTTCTGGGTGTTTTTCATTTTTTCCCAGGCAGGTACTTGTCTTTTTTTTTCCCACCCTTTTTCCCTATGCACCCACACACATGCTGTGTTTAAGCCTTGCCTTAGACCGTGGGCATTTTGTGACTGCAGCTGCAATTCACAAACTGTAAATTTTCTCTTTGTAAAGTCTTCACCTTAGCGCAGCGCCCAAGGGTCCTCTGAGGATAAGACTCATCTTATCAGTTTCAGTATCCGTTGCTCTGCATGAAAAACATCTCCTGTCTGTCAGTTTAGTGCTCCCCTGTCGGGTTGCAGGAGTTGACGTTGTGAAAACGCACCTGCGCCAAGGGCAGGTTTTCCTACCCAGGTGCTGTGTTTTCCCACAGAGATATCGATACAGCCCTCAAATAGTATCAATCCAAATACTTAAATAGCGCAATCACCAGTGAATTCAAGTGCTTCCCAAGTATCTTTAAAAATAGAAGTGGCGGAGCACTAGTCATGTGTTCATGGCAACCGTTTCTGTGAGGCAGATGGGCTGCTGTGTTTTGTAGCGATCTGAAGCTTTTTGAGGGTTTGCGTATCCTTGTTCCTAGAGAGATGATACAGTCTCCTTATCTGGAGATCTCGGATCTGTGGATCGGTGCAGACAGGCCTGGCTGTGATGGGATAAGGAAGAACTTTGGCCGATGGCAGCAGACAGCACTAGGCACCGTGGCTACATGGTTAGCTCAAAAGGGACCTGAACCCCGAGGCAGCTGTAGTTTGTAAACTTCTGTCTCTGGGTATTGTAATAGAGAAAGATTTGGGAAAATTCTTCCCTCTTTGCTAACACTATCAGTGTTGAGTGACAGATGGGTGCTCTTAGCCTCAAAGTGGATGGGCCGCTTGGCAAGGGTCAAGTCACCCTCTGTGTTGCCTTCCTAAGGCAAAAGACCTTGGGTACCCAGCCCATCAGTGGGCCTGCTGATCTCGACGGGGGCTGTATTTCCTCAGAGCCTCTTTTCAAGCACGTGCAGCATCCCAGCTGGGTGTTCGGATCCTGGACCCTCCCATGGGTTCAAAACAGCCTATGTGTTTCGTCCTCCGCAGCCCTTTGCGTGCAGGCCCCGGGGAGCAGAGCTCACCTGGGAGGCTGCTCAGGCCTCCCGGTGCTCCCGGGCTGTAGCCTGTGATGAGAAATCTCTGACTTAACCTGCTGGCTCTTCCCTGAAGAAGAGTGAAAGGCCATTCCTGCACTGCAGGCAATCGGGGTGAAGTTGCACCCAGAAAGCCTAAGGAAAATAGGGGTATTTGGGGATCTACCTGATTTCTTCTGCTGGCGCAATGCAAAGTGTCGTTATGTCTGGGTGACACACACACAACTTGTATTCATGTCCTACAAAAATTTTAAAAGGGGAAAAAGTGTTGCCCTGCTAATGCCTAGCAGGTCACAGTGCCATGGAAATGCCACCCTCGGGAGTGCCAGAGGTTCAAACCAGCCAGTGCTCAGTCCTCACATAGTCATGTGTCAGTTAGAGACCCTGCAGGTATCTGGAATTACTGAGTTTGGCTTTCTGACCTGCAAAGAGTTAACTGCTTGATGAATGGGACCCATTCAGCCCAGGTGAGATTTAAATCTCCTTCCATTGTCTGCATTAAAACAAAGGTTAGGTAGCTAAATACTTCCTGCTGGAGTCTGGGAAGAAGGGAGAGAACCAGCTGGAGTGAGAGGAGAGGGTTGCTGGTGAGGTGATGCCTTTTGCTTCGCGCAGGCTTGTGATGGGGCAGAGCTTGCGTGTAGCTCCAGAGGGTTCCTCCAGAGCGTGTTTCAGTGACGTCTGCTAGAACATGTGGTGTGATGGCTCCTTTTAAAAGAGCCTTTGTTGCAGACGTGTCTGAAAAAATGATGGCCTTCCCTGTATATATATAGGTTTTCCAAATATATGGATCGAAAAAGGGAGTCTTTAATGCTCTGGAGCAGCTTCTTTCAATTAGACGTGTTTAAATCCTGCTTTCCTGGCTGCAGCCTCAAGAATAGCTGTGGGTGTTAATGGAGGAGGCAATTGAATGCAGCCTGTAGGAATGATTTGCAAGAGAACACAACCTAATTCAAGGTAATATTAAGACGTGGCATCTGCACTACTTGTCTTCTGAAAATCACAGAGAGAAATTGGACAGCAGAGATGAAAAGAAGGTTTTCCATGAGGTCAGGACAGCAGGGCAGCTAATGTCTGTTCTTGAGAGCAGGAGCAGTGGCTGAGGCTT